CACACATACACACCCGCACACACACACATACACACCGGCACACATACACACCCGCACACACACACATACACACCGGCACACACACACCCGCACATACACACACACACACACACACACACCCGCACACACACACATACAAACCGGCACACATACACATACACACCCGCACATACACACACACACATACAAACCGGCACACATACACACCCACACATACACACATACACACCCACACATACAAACCCGCACATACACACCCGCACATACACACCGGCACACACACACATACACATCCGCATATACACACACACACATACACACCCACACACACACACATACACACCGGCACACACACACATACACACCCGCACACACTCACATACACACCTGCACATACAATCACACACACACAAACACACATACACACCCGCACATACACTAAGGGGAATTAATAGATATCAGTTCATCTAAATGCATGTTTATAGATTGTAAGAGGAAAGAGTACCACATAACAACAACAACATGAATAATAATAATAATAATAATAATTATTATTATTATTATTATGTTCAAAGCACATCAGCCATGTCATGGGCCAGGGCAGTTGGGAAGACTTAAGCCTATTCTAGGCAGCAGAAGGCAAGAGGCTGGGGGTATATACAATGATAGGTGATGAGGCTGCTGTACACACGATGACAGGGCACGAGGCTGCGGTATACACGATGACAGAGACAAGGTTGTGATATACACGATGACAGAGACAAGGCTGTGGTATACACGATGACGGGGGACGAGGCTGCGGTACACGATAACAGGAACGAGGCTGCGGTATACACGATAACAGGGACGAGGCTGTGGTATACACAATGATGGGGGACGAGGCTGTGGTATACAAGATGACAGGAATGAGGCTGCGGTATACATGATGATGGGTGACGAGGCGGCGGTATACATGATGATGGGTGACGAGGCTGCGGTATACACGATGACAGGGACGAGGCTGCGGTATACACGATGACAGGGACGAGGCTGCG